GCTTAGCAAGTTGCGTGCAACAAGTATCTCGGTCTCTCCAGCACTCCCCCTTCTAGGCATCATGGTTGGCACACCATGCCTTGTCTCTACCTGGATCCTCTCAACATCGCTTGTGACAGTGTGTAATGCTGCACGCAAATGATAAAATGGTGCACCCCAAACAAATTGTTTCGCATTGTCATACGGTCATCCAATGTCTTTTTCACCAGAGGATGAGGTCAAAAAGGGGCTTAACACACCCACAAAACATGCAACATACAAACCAGGACTGCCGGAGCGGCACTGCTACGTCTCACACGGATCGAGAGGTGCCCAAGGCGACATCCGTGGCGGGGCTCAGCTCAAGCACTTTATGAGCTCTTGTTCTGAAGGCACCGGTGGGCACTGGTGGGCTTTGGGGCCAAGTCGGTACTGTCTTGCATGTACCAGACTAAGTGCACAAGTTCTGCAACGTGGAAATCTTGGCTTTATGCTTATGTGATCGTGTTGTTGACGCTAAACTTGGGAGCTTCTTATTATATGCCCGCATAGAGAAGACAGGTGAGCAATTCCTCTGGTTGACAGCATGACTATGCCCTACACAGTACCATGGACCAAATACTCGTTCTTGAGGTAACTCTTCGTTTAGAATGGCAGCTTTCACTCAACTTGGAGAATCACAGAAAACACAGTATGCTTGGTTCTCCGGGAAGGCCTGCCTTCTCCATGGTTTCTTCGATCTTGGCTTTGATCTGGTCGGTCACCTGCGCTTGAGAGTTCAGCCAAGCTGCATTGGTGGGCCCAACGAGCATTTAGCGTTCTTCCCCTTTCGATTTGAAGCCATTCGGGTGCACCAGTTCATGCCTTGTACTCGTCATTGAGTTCCAGCACCTGGCTCCGCTCTGTCCCGTTGGTTCCAAGGACCAAACATGTCTTCTGCCGTTGACCTATTTTGTGTGGCACAGGTCATTCTGTGTTCTGAAAGTCCTGAGGTCATAGGCGGGCCACTCCGGTACGGGGAACTAGAGCTTGCTACAAAGGGAGATGAAGATCTTCGCAATAGATGAAATACAGATGGCAGGATCCAGCCTTGGTGGCAAGCTGGTTCGCAAGGTCAGATCCGGCCAAGACCAGGCTGCCCAAGGTGTCCTTGATGCCCACATCCTGATTCAAAAAATTCCAGGGTCTTCTTGGGGAGATTCGGAGTCTCCACGCATCCTCATCAGTCACTTGACTGTGGGTCAAAACCGGGGGACCCTTGGTTGACCCATCAAAATGAACAGAATGCACTACCAGACATGGGCAACCAAACATGAGAAAACGGCATGTGTTCAACAAGCTCTTTCAGTTCAACGACCCATCCGTCACTCGACCCACATCGACCCGAACGGCCTTGTCAAAGCTGTCGATGGCATCACCGACGGTGCTCAAGGACGTCTTCACGGATGCCAAGGACTCCTGTCGAAGAGACGCGAGCGACGGTCGAGTCCGAAGCCACGGTCGGGTCGAAGGAGCGGTCCTTCTTTCGGCCGGTCGAAGCACCGTTTGACGAAATGAGTACCGGTCAGTGAGTGACTCTATGAGAATTCGGTCAGTGGGTGAAAGAGGGAGACTGGCTCTGAGAAGTGGAGTCAACCTGGTTACAGGATGTTGTGTGTGCGCGTGTATGAGCCGGGTTCCTGGTTTGGAACCCACAGATCTGACCTCCTCAAACCAGAAACTTCCAGCTCTTGCTAAACAAAGTTCCGCGTCTGCGGGTGTCCATCGTAGTAATGCCCTTGTGCCTAGTAGCTTTTTGTTCCTAGTAGTAATGCTACTAGTAGCGTCCTTGCTCCTAGTAGCGAGGCCAGGAGCCCCTAGTAGCTGCTTGCTCCTAGTAGTAATGCCAGCTACTAGTAGCTCGCCCGCCTTCTGTTCGCCGGACTCGATCGCATCGTTGAGAGCAGAGCCCACCTGGGATCGCTCGGCGCGACTGCGATCGATACCACGGTACGGGCGGGTCGATCCGGCCCAAAGTCTGAAAGAAATGAGTTCCGTGTCAACCCGGTAACCCACGCACAAAAAGTACATCTTCAAGCATCTGCGAAAGATGCGAAACCAAACAGTAGGTGTGACAAGGGATGCTTCAGAAGATGTTCGTGACTACAAGAACTTCAATGGACCTCTTCCTTTGCGACTCGGGGCCAGCTAGAATCACGCGAGAATCACCGCGAATGTCGCGACGAGTCGTCCCGTCAGTCTCGCCTTGCTGGTCACCTCATATTTCTTGTTCAAGTAGTCCACATAGTTCAGCGCCTAAAAAGAGGCCAGTTCGCCGAGCAGCTCACTGAATCACTGAGTGAAGCCTTACAAAAGGCCTAGGGATTAGTGGAAAGACACCGAAGGGCGTCTCCGAAGGCTTCGGAACGACCCCTCAATTCCCTCGGACGAAACGGGACCGGAACTGGGGGCTCCGGTTTCACGGCTCCGTGAAACTCATCGTTCCACCCGGTCGCCTCCAACGAGGCAGTGGAGACGCCCTTCAGGACGGCCGACACATCGTCATCCTGGCCGTCGTCATCCGGGTGCAAAAAGAGCGGACAATCAAGACTGGTGAGACTGCAATGTCACCCACACCCACCTTGGTTTAGTTTAGGTTGCTATTGGCTTTGCACTTTACTCACAAACCAGTACCGAGTGATAGAGATCTCTCCAAAGCAAACAGGAACCCAACCACCCAGCAACCTCCTTCTTGGCCAGGTAGGAGGTGGCCACAAAGCCAGCAGCACCGATCTGAGCACAGCAGAATTTAAAAAAGTGGTGTTAGCATTCATTCGCTGACAATGGGCTCCATGGAAACATATGGAAACTGAAACGGTCGGTCGCAGTCAAAGTGCTTCCAGTTCTTTCCGTCAACACCTGAGGCTCAAGGCCCAGAAGCCACCCAGCAAAAGACCAGTGACGCCGCCCAAAACACCCGCAGTCGCAATGCTGTTCTCCTTGGTGACCTGACGAACGGGAGCGCGGCGCCAGCCAAACGGCGCGAGCCGAACGGCGCGAGCCGAACGGCGCCAGCGTCGCCTTCACCAGGGCCACGGAGGAGCCGGAAGAGGCTGGTGGGGGCGTCGCTGGCGCCTTGGCAGCCTCGCACAGTGTCAGCTGGCAGCCCTGGTTGCGACCAAGATGTGACAAGTTAGTAGGAAGAGCACCTATACGCCCGTACAACAATAAGTATACGGCATAAATAACTTGATGTCTAGACTATGGCATGGTGTTTTCGTGGGTGGGTGACATTCACATCATTCATGCACATTGACTATTGAAAGCAGGGAAAAACATGTGTCCCTCGCACAACAGTCCAGATTTTGTGGGGAGGGGGCAGTGTCTAAAATGTGTCTTGGTCAACATGTGGTTTTGAGAGTACTTCGATCTGCCTACGCCAGTTTCGAGCTAGTTCAGAAGCAAATGTCCACCCAGGAAAACGATCAAGCGCCCTGACAGGTGCGCCACGTCGGAAAAGTGTATCCCGCTTTTTCGAGGCCTCACCAAACACCACAGTCTTGCTGTGGGTCCTGCAGGGCGCTTACGTATATGTGAAAATAAATAGATAAATAGATAGATAGGAAAGAAAGAAAGAAAGATCGATCGATAGATAGACAGACAAATGGATAGATAGATAGATAGATGGAAGGAAGGAAGGATGGATGAAAGGAAGGAAGGAAGGAAGGAAGGAAGGATGGATGGATAGATAGATAGATAGATAGATAGATAATGATAGATAATGATAGATAAACATTCTGTGCCCAAATCCTCTTTGTATCTCTTTGTGGACTTGGTGGCGCTTCAGCGCAATTGCAGATTGGTACCCTGCAGTTTCGCAAAAGGAAAAAGACTCTCCTTGGTGCCACAAGTCCAGTGAAGCAAGATGGCGCCTTGCAATTTCACAAGCGGAGGACTGCAGAAAGTGGAGGTCATGTGACTGCAAACCACAAGTGGTCAGCACATGGCACTCACCCTCAACCCTTCACCAGCTGTCAGACCAGGGATGGTCTTCCCAACTTTCTATGACTGAAGAACTGGTGCGCATCTCTTCCAAAACCCAAAACCACAACCAGCGCAGCGACCCGCCACACTCGCCCAGAGACCCGCCGCACCCAGCGACGCGCGCTGACTGTTTTGCTTCGACTACGCCAAGCGCTGAAAGACGTGCAGCCCTCGAGCGCCGGCGATGAGGTCACTGAACTCATTCACCTCCAACGGGAAGGGCGCACAACGGGTGATTTGTTGGGTGTCACAGTTTCATGGTCAGCTCTCCGAGTCAAAACTATTGCAACTTGTCCTTTTTCGCACAAAATACAACATGTGTGAAGCAAAAAGGCATTGAGGAAGATAGCACGTACTCAAAGACACTTCGATGGTGGCATGTCCACCGGTTGTCAGCTGTAAGGTTCCGCTTAAGGGGTATTAGCTTCTTGTTCCTAGTAGCAAGAATGCTCCTAGTAGCTATGCCAGGAGCCCCTAGAAGAGTCCTTGCTCCTAGTAGTGAGGCCAGGAGCCCCTGGTAGCTTCTTGTTCCTAGGGTATATATGTCAATTTCATCGTTCCAGCACAGCAATTAGGCATTGCTCAGACCTACTACAAGCTGGACATGAAAGTTGAGTTCTTAATTTCGGGTGGTTTTCAAATCTCGATATTTGCGTCAAAATACTGCCAGGGAGAAGATGGCTTCGTCCAGGACAGCTTCACCCTGCCCTTTCGCCTCGGATGTCAGAGTTGGTGGTGACTGAAGTGAGTGGAGATCAAGGTATCGCAAAAAGACGGTACGGTCCTTGTTGCTAGTAGCAAGAATGCTACTAGTAGTATTGCCCTTGTTACTAGTAGCGATGCACTTGTTACTAGTTGTCGTGAAGAGCATGTTGAGAATCCTACGCTCAGTTGAAGTTGTTGTAGGTATCGTGACGACCATTACATCATACATGCAAAATACATATCAAGTTCACAGATGTTCATCATGTATATAATGACATGGGTTGAAAAGAAATAGGAGCATGTCTAGGTCTGACAAAAATTACAAAAGGTCTCCACACCGGGTGCTACCCATTCCACATCTATCACTTCTAGGCTGGAGGCCATCACTTCTAGGTTATAGGCCATCGCTTCGAGGTTGGAGGCCATCGCTTCTAGGTTGCATTCCACTCAACGACCCTGCCACCCTGCGACCCGGTGGCGACCCATCCTAAATCTCCACAGAGCTGACCGGGCTGCTCCCCGGTCTGGCAGTCCGAGAGCTCCCTCGGCGAGAAGAGCTAACGCAGATCGGTCTTAGCCATCTCTTGGAGCTTGGGAGCTCCAAAAAAATCGTGCACCAGCAGGGGCCATGTGGAGTCAGCAGCACTAGTGACTACTGTAACAAAGTAGAGTTGAAGCCTAGAAAGGTTTCCTTGTCAAGTTCGATTGATGTCTCTGTGGCTATAAAATTCTGCCGTGAGATTGCAAAATAAAGTGCATGAGTTGCCATGGTTTGCTCTGAAACATTTTCTTCGAGACTTCCCATCGCACCTGCAAAGCTTCGGAAATTGGTTCCTGAAGTGCTGGGAGCGCGGCGCGGCAATCTGCTTGCAGATTCGTTGCATGGCAAATCAAGGGTTTAAGCAATCATGAGCAAGTGAGCAGACTCTATCCTGCTGAGTAACTGAGTACCTTCCAATCTCTCGTTTAGATTGAAGAACAAGTCCCTGAACGTGTACTTCATATCTCAGAGTCCCTGACCAAAAACTGACTCCACTGACTGTGTTTCTTCATATCACTGCGCAAAAAAGGTGGCACAAATCGTCTTCAGCGCGTCTTCAGCGCACTCCAAGCATCGGAGTCTTGGTGAGAGTCTCAAGCGTCTTCAGCGCCAACTCCTCCGCCTCTTGCAGGCTTCGCCCTGGATCTCTTCGAAGCATGGGATCTGCCTGGCACTCACGTCGACCAAAGCAGTTTTGATTCATAAGGGTTCTGAACAATGGCTCCACTAAATATCCTTGATATATACATATCTGTATATATTAATCTAATTGTTTGAGGGGGTGAGAGTTTAACACAATGATCAGATCATTTCTGGTGTCATGCCAGCAGGTGCAACCTCAAACCCAAGCCTCACACTTTTAAATATGTATGAGCAACGCTTTGCAAAGCTTATATAAATACAAACATTTGTACCAACTGCTTGGAACTAGCAGCCCCGGCTCCAGCACCTGTCGCACTTGCTGGTGTCTCAGAAGAATATGGCGTGCCCTCACGGTGTCTGCACCCTGCGCGGTCTTCTGGCGCTTGGCTGCCGGCGCCTCAGCCTGAGACAAGAACTGTGATGCCTTGTGAAATCTTGGAACATTGCATCGAAAGATTTCTCTGCTTCGTGGAAATCAAAGCTTCAATCGCCAAGCCCAATCTACATGATGCCGTCTACACTTCGTACCTACATCATCCTACATCCATATGGGCACATGAGCTTTTTCAGAACTCAAAGCTGGTTTCGGCAATTTTTGATATTCCTGCTCATCCTGCCTTGCCACTGGGGCTGATGCTGATGCACACCTCAGTTAGCACCGTCTCAAGCTTTTGGCACCGTCTGAGGCTGCCACCAACGCCACCAAGCATCTGCCGCGCTCGAAGGCGCATCGACCAGGGCGTTCCATGCCAATGCAGATGCTTTGGGCCTCAAAGCCGGGACGGTCGGAGGCGAATGCGGATGAACGGGTGCCGATGCTTTCAGAATGAGTTGGGTTTTGGAGGTTCTTCCTCACATATATATATATATATATTATAAGTCTATAAATGACGCAACATCTAAGATCTTTAAACCAAATATCAAACTGCAAAGTAGAAAGATGTAGAAAGTGTTTGAGGAATACACTCGAGAAGTTGCACAAGTCGCTCCAAAAAAGGAGTCGCCTGCGGCAGTGTGATGCCGCGCTCTGAACCAATTGATCGTCCTTCAAGGCAGCTGTGGCTCCGCCTTAGAACCCCAGGCCGTCCAAGCCTTGCGCTTCGATGTCGTTTGAATTGACAGCATGAACGTAGCCGTAGTTTCGCTAGCTATATAATACATGTTAATCACATCCTTCCAGACTCCCTGAAATCAAGAGGACAAAAACATCATTACAAAGAACACAAGGTGCTGCGAGCATGAGGCTGTGGTCCTGTACTTTGCATCTCTAGATTTGGTCGAAGGCATTTGGCTTCTGTTCAGAAAAGCCTGATCTCCCCCAACAAGCTGTCTTCCAACAGTAGGCTTGGGGCACCAACTTCCCCACTAAAGTAGCCAGTATATCAGTATGGATGAAAATGTTGAAAGGAAGTAAGATCAAAGAATCCAAGGAGGTGGTCGGTCCCAGCCAATCTGGGCGACCGTCTAGGCACCCCGACACAGCAGGGCGAAGCGAATGGTTGCACTGGTGGACACGAAGTGGGACGCCGACTTCGGCTCCATAACCACCACGGAACGGGGAGAGCGGAGATCTCTCACGCCTTGGTCCGGATTCGTCTCACCAGGCGACCGGCCGACAGAGTCGAGACGATTGAAGACCAATGACTCACCACCAGGCACCTACAAAGTGAACGAAGGCAGTAGAAAGGACAAGGAGACTTCACCACTCTTCACAGAACTTTGACCGACGCCGAGAGTCCCAGGGCACGGCTCATCTGAAGGCCCTCCTTCAGCAAGGCCTCCGTCCTGGGAAGTGACTCCACCGTACAGGGCCGCGCCATGGTGCGCACGGCTTCGTCACCTCGGTGCCCACCGGTGATCGGTGGAGGCGGACCTGGAGTCGAAAACCTGATCTTGGGGCCCTTGGGGTATGCAACTGTGGGGGCAGGTCGAGCAGCAAGATCTTGCAACTAAGGCAGGTCGAGCAGCAAATAGTTTCTGCTTGGCCGAAGTCAGGGGCAAAGGCCTTTCTCTCCGATCGCCGAATGTCAACAGCAACCCACATCAATATGCCGTTGAAAAACTCAATGTGGCTACACAAAATAGCTTCCTGGTGTCTTCACACGGAGGGCCTAACAGCAGACACAAGTGGACGTCAATTGGTGAGCAACACTTCGGAGTACTCTTTTGGCACCTGCAATTTGGCAAACTTCTTCTTCAACTCTTTCGCAGCTTTGGCAGCATCTTGCTCCTCAGACAACAAGGGCAGGTGCAAGCGACTGAGACACATGTTTCACTCGGATCAGTCTGCGAAACTCTATTCGTTCCACAGCACGCCTGTCTGCAGCCAGGAATCTATTTCTTCCAAGATGGAATCCTGAGAAGGAAGAAGGAGTTGGTTTTCGTATCCACGTGGAATCCGTTCGCCCGGGACAAACGAACGCATCCACGGTGTAATCGGACTTTGGGGTCAGGACAGTCACTGGTGAAGTGTGAGACTACTCCGTCGAGTTGCAGAGGCGGGTGTCCAGTCCACACCCAGAAGGGATGCAGCTCCTGAACGAGTGTGCACCTCGGCTTGGGCCATTGGAACGATTCTCACAAGCAGTTGGCAATCAGATTCTCCGTGTCAGCCTCTGCATGTAGCACTCGGCGCATCTGCTTGCACGCTTCCAAATCCTGCATGCCATGTGATGCTGATGTGTGAACTTATGAAAAAAAGGAGTGTATGTCATGTCTTCCAAAGGGTTATATAGATCAGACCTCCCAAAACATGTGGACGTTATTGGGTGGAGTAGGTTGGAGACCATCGCTACTAATAACAAGAAGCCACTAGGTGGAGGCCCTCGCAAGTAGGTTGGAGGCCATCGCAAATAGGTTGGAGGCCATCGCTACCAGTAACAAGAAGCTACTAGGTGGAGGCCATCACAAGTAGGTGGAGGCCATCGCAAGTAGGTTGGAGGCCATCGCTACTAGTAACAAAAAGCTACTAGTAACAAGGAAAGAAAGGCCTTCAAACCCAGCAGGCCGGCCTCTTCAATCATTCCTTCGAGCCTTTCTTTGGACCTAAGAGAAGAAGACGCATCTTTAAGTTATTTCAAAGTGCGAGGGTATTGGGTCTTTGGTTTCTAGCCCGAATAGTCCTTCCAATTGCCAAGTCTGCAACAGCTTCACATTATCTTGCTAGAAACGACTGGATAATTCAAAAGGCCCATTGAATTTACACCCTCGTGCACAAACCTCTGAGGCAAAATCTCTTCCAACCGCGCAAAGGCATATTGATAAGCTTTCCTCAGAGTCCAAGACTTGGCAAGTTTGATTTTAGATACTTTGATCATCGATGTGTCAGCAAACACAATGCCTGGAGGCTGAAGGAGATTGAGCATGTGTGTTCATTTTGTTGTACCTTGAAGTTTTATAATGAAACCTTTGTCAATCTACGAGTACGTCACGGCCATATTGGTGGATAGTCCTCTCTCATTGGGCAAATGGAAAAACGCCAGGACAAATGTGTGACACCTCTACGGGAAAAACCTGGCTGCACCTCAGCCAAGACTGGCTTGAAAGTACGCATCATTCCACTGCTTCTGGAACCAATCCAGGCCACATTGCTTTAGCCACAGTATGTATCGTATATATATATATACTGTGTATGTCTATATATATAAAATATATATACATGTTCATGTACCCAGAAGTCAAAAAGATCCCAAGAGCGCAAAAAGCTGCATACAGGCTTTTCCCAATGCGCCTTGGTTGATGCTGGGGTCCTCCCCCAGACCCTGTATCATTTAGTCCATTTCAAACTGCCCTGGACTTCGCCAGGGGGACAAGGGTGTGTCAGGCAGTAGGATTCGCCCGTCGCTGCCAAAACACCCGAATGTCCCCTGGTCTCCCAGGGCCAACAGGCACCTGTCGAGGTGCCAGGGGACAGGGTCGGGAGGACAGCCCACCGGATCCGGTCACGGGATCTTGGGTGGGCAACTAGGAAAAACCCGTTGCGGACAAAAGTTTTGTAGCAAAAGGAAAAATGAAGAGAGTCTCCGGCGCCGGTAGCCGGCGATCTAAGGAGAATCCTTCAAAGTCCGGATGATTGGGAGCAATGCTACAGCCCTCACAATGAAGGAAGAGAACCAATTCCATTAGCAGTGCCGCCGAGTAAGGTTTCTTGGCCGAGAGGTTGAGCAGGCTGAAGATGTTGCCTGAGCTGCCCACCGGGAGACGAACTCTTCCCGGCAGTTGGCCCTGTTGGGCCACCAGGTGCTTGCAAAGAAGTAGCGTGCCCAGGAGTTCCAGGGCAGCAATGCGTTTCTGAGGGTTGCCATCCTTGAATGCCCACGGATGGGCGTCTGCTGTAATGGCATAGTGGAACCATAGGACCTTGTCCTTGGTGGGGTTCGGGGAGGCCGAGCACCAGCCCCCAACATAGGCTTCGCCTGTCTTCGATGCACTAGCATCACTGCATCCGCACCAAGGCGACTTTGGCAGGAAGGGTGAGTACTGCTCAAAGGGGCGCGTGAAGAGCTCCTTCAGGAGGGCAGCCAACATGCGGACCACCTTGGGTGGATGGCTCATAGTTCTGACTGCCATCTTCCAAGCCCAGAGCGGTTGGAGCAAAGACTTGGTCAAGGGGCAGCATGCCGTGGCCCACTGGATCCGGCCCATGGCCTTCTCAATGGCCTTGGCTGACATGGGGGATCCATTGGCGAGCTCCTCCAGGAGCTCCATGACCTTGATGTGCTTGGGGGCCGCCATCTGGACTCGAGGTATGGTTGGGTGGACCACGAACCCAAGCCAGGTGTTGATCTCTGCCAGGTGAGTCTTCTTCCAGCTAAGGGGCGTTCCCACAGCCACCAGTGTGCCCAAGCGCCGCAGTGAATTGCGGTCCCGTGGGCAGGCGAAGGAGCCAGCAGAAATCATCGACGAAGACAAAGCCCCAGTCGATCTGTGGGAAAAGGTAATAGAGGATCCGTAGGAGCAAGGCCGCCATTCTGCCGCAGTAGAGCTGCGCGCTTGCCATGCCGTAGGTGCCCACTTTGTTGACCCACCATTCGTTGTCCAACTGTGCTACCTGGAATCGCCAGTCCTGGGGCAGGACCTTGATTCGTCGGTGGGCCTTAGTTACATCAGCCTTCAGCAGGATCCATTGGCTGTCCTTAGTGGGCCACTCCCAGGCTGGGCCAGAGGCACCAGGAGCAGAGGGGGGCTGGCCAGCCCCGCCATCAGCCGGGTCCTCTAACTGCAGGAGGTCCACACCCATGTCCGCGTCTTCGCGTTCCGCAATCTGGACCTTGAGTGCTTCCAGGTGGCGCTCCAACTCCCGGATCTGCGCCTGAGCATCCAGCTCAGAAACCAAAACGGGCTGTCCAAAAATGGCGAGGCCCCTCGCTCCTTCCGCCTCCGCATGACGGAGGGCTGCAGACGCAGCATCAGCTGCCTGATCCAAACTCTCCATGCCCGGGCTACTGATTGTAGTCCCATCCTCAACGTCTAGTTGGGCATCTCGCACTGACTCAATCATGACATACTCCGGTTCCATTGGGTGCGCCATTCCGTCGTCGTCAACAAGAACCAATGTACTAGGGAGTTTTCTTCCAACCTTCAGGTGCAATCCTGTGGATGATTGCCACCACCTTGAGCCAAAATGTCCCGGTCAGACATTTTGTGAACTTCAGTGAACATAAAACTTGCGTCCGCAAGCTACCTGCAAGTGTGAATTTATTCATTAACTTAAAGTGTATACATATATAAAGATGCAACGGAGAACTGTCTTGCCCACTTCGCAGCGAGTATGTCATAAAAACTAAAATGTTCGCAACTGCAAGACCGTTAAACCTGGAACTCTGACAATCTTGTCAGTGGAAGGGTCGACCCCCCACACCCGGCCACCCCCTGAGTGTGAGGGCGTCCCCTGGTCACTTCACTGTCGAACGAGCCACACCTTCGAATTCTCGAGTGACAGTAACCTCCAGGTTGGCGGTCCGAAAAAAACAAAAGAAAAACTAGCTTCCATAGTCCTTTTTCTCCTTGCAGACTTGCCCTTCATGCCCCTTCCGGGTGGTAGAGGGTGGGGCTGAAAGCCGAAACGCTATGAGTCAAAACAGTCAATTGCATCTTAGACACCGGGGGCATTAGTTAGTACAAAGATGCCACGGAGAACTGTTTTGCCCACTTCGCAGCGAGTATGTCATAAAAACTACAGTGTTCGCAACTGCAAGACCGTTAAACCTGGAACTCTGACAATCTTGTCAGTGGAAGGGTCGACCCCCCACACCCGGCCACTCCCTGAGTGTGAGGGCGTTGCCTGGTCACTTCACTGTCGACTTCCGACGGAAACAACGTCCCCCCTTCCCCCATGTCACCCCACCCCCCTCTCCCCTTCCCCTGCCACTCCCCACTCACACTCCCCCCACCCGATGATTGGAGCGCACACGATGACGATCTTCTTCTCAGTCTCCACCGCAATGAACGGCCACGTCCTGGCAATATGTCGCTCGAAAGATGCAACGCCCACTCTCTCAGATACAAGCAAGATGGGCCGATCTTTTGGAGCTTCAACGAGCTATGACTCCACACCCGACTTCTTCGACGTGAAGCCCCACTTCTGAGACTGTAACTGTAAAACTCTTTGTCACCATTCAGCTTTCACACTTCCGTGAAAACGACAACTCCTACTGTTTGCGGATTGCATGCGTCACGTTTCCCATTTCCATTGCAACCACATGACACCAATTCCCATGACTACATATTGTGATTCCTGCATGACACTGGCCCCACCTCCTTGCCACAGTCCTTCGGCTCAAACTACCACTTTTTACTTGCGGGTTTGATTCTCACCGCTGACTTTCCCTCATGCCTGACATCGTTGATGGACCACCTTCGACTCCCTCAACACCTTCCTTGGCTAAGGGACGACCTAGGCCATCCCAGGCACCACATCTACGTGATCCATATGAACCTCAGCTCCTCTCTACCAACTTTCCCAAGAAAGCTCGGCCTATGGAACCACCGCCCACTTTACGCTCCTTGATCCACGCAGCGAGCACTTTGCCGACACAGCTGCCCTCCTCGTCTTCATCCTCGATTATGACTAGGACTACATGCCCGACTGATCTTTTTGGTTTTTTGGCAAAACCCACAGGCGAACGTATCCGTTTTCGGATACCGCAGCCGGCTTTACCCTTTACGTTGCCTGAGGCAAACATCCCACCCTAATTCACGTTTGGCCCTCATGTTCTCCACTTGTTATCATTCCTTCTCACCACGTTGATGTCCCGCAGCCATTTCACCTTGATCATTTGTTGCACACATCCCTTGCTTTGCCCAAATTGACGCTCATGGATCTCGTCGACAACGCCGTTGCTGTTGCCACAAACACCTCCGACACCATGGAACAGCCTTCCCCCAGGCAACCGACCACTACAGAGTCTTCACTCCTTCTGAATCCCGCGCAAATGCAGTTGAGTTCACGCATTGTTTTGCCTCTTGGTCCCAATGGCTCGGACGTCCTCTTCGACCTTGCGGACCTTCCAAGGCAGAATCCGGAGGAGCCTTCATTGTTTGACCCCACCCTTTTACCCAGTCTTCCTCGGGTTGACAACCAATACAATCAAGACTACGTTGATCATTCCCATGCTCGCAATCACGGACATTTCTACGCGGCTCAACCTGATGAAGAATGGACACGCCGCAGCTATAGCACCGCCCGATATTGGTTTTATCGAGCCTGGTTTCACGACCAGACAATCAGATGGGATCATGATGACGCCGCCTACTTCAAAACCACCCATGGCTTTTTCCTCGATCAACATCCCTACTCCACCGGGTCAGACTATCACTATCGGGTTTGGAGAACCCGAGGCTGGCAATTAGTTCTTGGCGCCACCCCCAGCCTTCCCATTTGGCCGGCTTGCAACAGCTGGGAACAAGCATTGTTTGAAGAGGAACAACGACTCGAAACCCAAGGATCCCCTCCAGAGGCTCATCCTCGTGGCCGGAAATGTCAGGCAGTGGACAACTTAGAGTACACACGCGTTGACAACATGCTTGAACACATGCTTCAGCAATTCTCTCAGTTGGACGTTTCAACCAGCTCGGGCGTTCGTCATCTCACTCCGGTTCAACAAAACACCATGCTCGACGGTTTGGTCCACACATTGACCATTTATCAGGAAGAACTGCAGATCATCTGACGCTGCTGGACCCTCTGTCCCTACCGAGCTGGATCTACCCCTTGTTCCACCCGCTGCTGGGACAGATGCGCCTGTTCCGGATTCCGGCGGGAATCACCACCGACCACGTTGCCCCCTCCATATCGCTCCACTACTGAGGGCCACGATTGACTACTTCCTTGTGGGTTGAGGCTGTAAGAGCTTCCCCGATCTTTCTTCCTTTCGGTTTCATTCGACTTGTCCCCAACTTGAAAACAATTTTCCAATTACACGCTCTTCACCCATGTACCCCACTCCCTTCTCATGGTTTCCACCACACCACACCTCTTTTGTGTTTTTGATACCCGCAGCCATTCGGCTTGCTACAACATCATTTGTTCGTGACTTTTCGTCCCCCATGATCTCCTCCCCTGGACTGCGCGTTCCGAACCTTTGACGCAACTCATCCCCACTGAGTGGCGAGACATACGACAACCTTTCGAAACCCTTGACCAGGTCCCCCACCTCGCCACTGTACGGTTTGAGTTGGACATCAGTCTCTTGGTCTATCAGCCGCTAGCCGCTAAACTACATCACAGAGACGCTCCATGCGGACCAGATTGAGACCAAAGAGTACACGGTCGATGATCTCAAGGACGTGACCTATTCCCGATTGGGACAACAACGTCCTGCTTCTTGAATGGCACTCCCCTCCACGGGCGACTCCAGGGTCTGGGAAGTACCACATACTTGCACCCTTGAAGATTTGGTTCTTTACTATGTGAACTCTCCCCGTCTTCCCGTTCTTGGACCATCCCATGAATACTCACGGGAGAACACACCTTTCCCCTATCGCCCACTACATACGATTGCACCTCGTCTCCATGATGATGCCATTTGTCAACTGAGGCTTCCCCTCACAGCCTACCAAACTTTCCGGGAAATATGCCGGTTCTCGTAGTTTCACTACCCACCCTGGTCCGGAGCTCGGAAAATATGCCTCCCCTTGGGGAGGCGTGTGTGTGTGTGTGTGTGTGCCCCTTGTAGTCACAGGGGTCCTTTTGGATTGCGCTTGATGGTTTTTTCTTTTAAAGCAGGGGGCTGGTTGTTCATGCAAGTACCAGCCCAACGAAGAGGCTTGCATTGAACACTAATATCGGTGGGGACGCTCACCGACGTGCCTGCTTCTTTTGAACTTTTGAACAAGCTGTGACCCTACTTTCCTGTAAAGGGCTAATGAGCTTGGCAAACATGCACGTCCGTCGTCACCCTGTCGTTCGACCTCGACTTGAGTTTTTAACCTCACCTCCTTTTGAAGACCCGCAGGCTCTTTAGGGCTTTCCTGGCCCTTTCAGGATTTGGGTTTCTTAGGCTGGCATGTGGCATGTGGCATTCAGTTCAGTACACCCAATCATAAGTGTGTGTGTGTGTGTGTCTGTGTGGAAAGAAAATTGCTCTCTTGAAAGAAACTGTCTTGCTCCCTGTCACTTGGTCACTTGGTCAAAAATGTGAAGTAGTCTGTGTGTATATACATACAGTATATACATCTATCTTTATGACCTTGATTCTCGTTCGCAGAAGTCTACTCACAAATACAAACGGTCTTCTCATCATGTCGAGCTTCACCAACCTGTGTCCCGCCTGTTGTTCAAAGTATGTCAACAGTCTCATATGTTTTCACAGCGTGATTCGTTTGCATCAAAAAGTGTCCCTCAACGGACTTCGCTATGAAAGGTGGACCATCCCTTTTCCCTCCTGCTCCGAGATACATCTCTACAGAATCCTTGTCCTTCTGCTTGTCGGGATGGACTTTCAATGCCAGCTTCCGATACGCCCCACGCACCTGGAATCAAGCGACAAGCGATGCCATCCTTCAAGTTCCAAGTGAATGTGAATCAAAGAAGAAGGTGACTGAAAGACTGTTCCACTGAGATTCCCTGGAGAGATTAAGGGCACTATGCAAATTGATATCTCACCTGCTTCACATCAAGCTCATCATCAGGCGCCAAGAGCACATCAAACCTGCAGCCCCCACTGCCCTCGCAACGGGCCGATAGCCATATAGCGCGAGTAGCGAATCTGTCCAAAGCCACAGCTCATGTTTTCAGTGGAAACCGATAAGCATATAAATGAAGTTTATGTATCTTCTGTTGTCAGCCTAGATTCCGCCAGTTCGGGGATACTGCTCTACCAGAGCAGCCATTTCAATTGCAAGATCCGAAAGAATCTCTGGCTCTCCCCAAGAAGAGCACACCACACTGCTTCACTGTCTGGCTGCCAGGCAACACGTTGGGTGCACAAAGGATACGCTTAGCATCATCCAGCTTGTCGGCTTGTTGGTGGTGCAACAGGCCATCCACCACCTCAGTGCGAGGCCTCTTTGATCAAAGAAAACATACCAAATGTCCTCTACTTTTTGGTGCTCCCTGACATGCTCCCTGGTGAGCCTCGATGAAATGAACAGTTCCCAGGGACCGGTTGCCAAACAAAAGCACCATCGTTCCCGATCAATCCTCTGAGTCGTGAGGTTCTCCTCCTGCGAATTCTTGTGAGCCAGCCCCCCACACTCTTGATATTGTATGAAGTGTCCACGTTCGGAGTGTATCCAAAGGCCTCGAGCCCTCTCTGAACAAACCTTGCTAATGAAAAACCAAGAGTCCATACCACCTGCCTGCCAAAATCGCAGCTGTTCTTCTTCGTCATCAAGGCGGCCCTCGCAGTCCAAAAGCCGTGTAGAGCCAGCTCCCTGCCAAAGAAACAGCAGGGAAGAAGGATCCGCCAACGTTTCTCAATGGGAAGTAGGAACTCTTTTCTTTGGGTGCGAAACAATAGCAGTTTTGTCGCAAACAAAATTTGCTACTTGCGAGATGTGTTCTGTCATTTGCTGGTCCAAAGCAGATCGTCTTCCGAGTGAATGTGAATGAACTTCAACTGTTCTGACTTAAACATGCTTAAGCATCTGTCAAGAACCCAGTCCATTCTTGGGCCTGCAGCCAGTGACGCGACTGGAACCTGTAGAGTCCACTACCCGAACACCCAAAGCCACCTTCCCCTCGCCCTCCAACAGGAGGACGCGGCAGTCACCGACACCGGCAACCACGAAGCGGTTTCCAAGCAAAAGCGCGAGAAGGGCCGAACAACCGCCTCAAGATGCCAGGTGTAGATATTCCAAACCAGACATTCATTCGGTCAGAAAACACAGACTGCCACAATGTCTTTGGCGGCATCACATGCTGTATGAGGGACTAAATTACACCAGCATCGACCCCAGACAGCATTTCTGGTTTTCTTGGTATCCTTGAAAAAAGAACTCCCCCTGCATGTAGAAGAGGCTAACAACATGCTTTTATATCTTGCTTAACTGCAGGTACTACATCCTTATTGCCCTCTTCCTTGGAGGAGAAAGAATAAGAAAAGAGAAATACTAAATACTTTTCATACAATGTTTCATTTTTTACTCTCAATAATTGTCGAACTTATTTTCCTCAAAAGTTTATGAAGGAAGTACAAGAAAGTATGTAGGAATATTCCCTCATACAGTACTGGTTGGGGGAGGGCGCAGTGACTCCCCACCAGAGTGAAGCAAAAGAGACAAGTCCGCTCACAAAATGTAATGAAAATAGAGTTAAGCTAAGGCAAGTCCGCAACTCTCGTGCTTTTTTTGCAAAACTCTGGAAACACACCAAGACCGTTAGAGTACTTGATGCCAATGGACTACAATAGAAGGAGCAAAAGACCGAGAAGCATTGATGAGAAGGCGAGGAAAAATACAACAGGGGACCAGCGGACCAGCGAGTCCAAGGAACCAGCAGGGGGGCATGGCAGACTAGGGGACCAGTGGGCCAGAGACAGAGATGTTTGTTGATCTTGTGTCTTCTTTCTTCATCCTGTTCTTTTGTTTTTGATCTTGTTCTTTGCTTTTTTGACCCTGTTATCTATTTTATATCCACATAAACTAGGCACCAAGCACGGCACCTAGCTTCTTTTGTGGGGTGAGAACGTTGAGGAACATCATAGAACAGACTCATGAAGCAATGATACGGAGCTGGAGTGTAGACAAGATGCTGAATGGAAAGGCGCTCTTCATGACTTCAGTGTCTAGTTCTTTCAGCGTTGCCTTGCAGGGGTTGCAGCACACTTTGGACTGAGCCTGCAGACTTTGTTGCGTTTTCATACAGTTTCGTACAAGCCTGAAGAACAAGGGACTGAATCAACAAGGACCATGTTTCACTGCCTCTATTTCACCTTGACTCTAGAATTGTCCTTAAGTCTGGAAGGTCTCAAATCTGCCAGCCAGCCTCCAAGACTTCCTGGAGTTCCTGCAGACTCACAGTCCACACTTCACTTCCAAACGAGATTCAATTTTCCCTGTGAAAAAAATAAGCTATGTCACTATTTCGTGGTCCAAATGCCTTGTCAATTCACAAAATCTGCAAACAAGCGCTCTGCCTCCGTCTTGTAGACGTGAATCTTCTCAGCCAATCTTGGAAGAAGTTTTTTGTGAAAGTTCCTTAGAGAATCTGTGCAACGACGAGTCTTATATACCTACCGTTTCTGCTTTGCAACTTGGGATGAAGAATCCATGGGTAAAAGACGTACCTAAAGCCTGGATTTGTTGCAAGGATGCAAGAATGTTGCTGATCAAAAGCATCCCAACGGGTTCGCTCCACGCTTGCGGTTACAAGGATTTCTACATTGGTGTTTTTTGTGAAGATGATGAATGTTGTGTGGGCCACCCAACTTTGCTTCTGAGTAATCGTTCACATCTTCGAAGTATATAGATCAAAAAACCATTGCGGTTTTGATTAAACTGTCACGACGCTGAAGCGCGACGCGTGAAAGTCGATGATCGAAACGTAATGCTGATCGACAGTTCAAAGCATCAGTGTGCACATCTAAGAAAAGGGGATCTGCCACCCCAATCTGAGCCGAGCTTGCCTTCTTCCGCGACCCGATGTGCTTCGTGTCTCGCTCCACCGCTATGTAGTGGCTCTATCCTTCTTTCTGTCACGTCGACACTTGTTATCTGCGGAACTTGTTACTGGACAGGTATAAAGATGGACGGGTAGACAGCAGACAAAGGCACCTTTTGGCAAACAGTGGCTCAGTCGACCCAATCATAAATCAGTTTGCATATAGATTCTTCTATAGTCATTGCAGCGACCACGACAGGCAGATGAATAATAGTTATGTGTATATACTATATGATGATATACAGATAGACAAAGAGGGACACAAATATCATAGCTAGCTAGATAGCTACAACCAGCACCGGCGCGGGCAGACATCCACACGCCCGCCAGACGCACACCAGCACCGGCTCCGATAAAACGCAAGATGCCCAATAGTGGACGCAAAGAACGAAGGACCGATTCTGTGTCAGCGCAGCATACCAACATTGTGGCCTGAAACCCATGACTAATGACCCTCGACACGGTTCCTTCCTGTAAGCATGTGTCGACCTTTTTCCTCTCACTGTACAGCTGACAACTGCGTCAGGTGGACAGACCGTAGCTTGAGGACCGGCGCAGAAAAATGACTGCCCGAAAGTGTGGATGTCTTTGGCGCAGATTCTTGCACTTCTGCTGCAAGGGGCCTCGAGCACAGCACAGCGCACGTCATGGCGCGACGCCAAACCAGAAGGGAACACTGCTTGGGAAGCCACGGGCTGGCGTCTATCTCTCTATCGATCTATCTATCTATCTATCTATCCATCTATCCATCTATCTATCGATCTATCCATCTATCTATCCATCTCCCCATCCATCCATCCATCCATCCATCCATCCTGCCTTCCTTCCATCCATCCACCGACCTACCTTCCTGTATCTTGTATCTTATCCGTACTTGCTTTATTGCATCTATGCGTTCACATGTTACATCACAGGACAATCCAAATTCACACAGTGCTTGATCGCCCCCACGAGACGAGTCGCCATGGTGACTACGGCGTGTGAACAACGCTATATTCAATAGTGGCTGGTCCTGCTGGATCTACTTGCTCTCCGAACTTTTTGCGAAAAGTCGAAAAGTAGCCGACCCATGTCGACCCTTTGTTTCGACCGCGAAAAGTCGAAAAGTCAAAAAGTGCACGAAAAGGGAACGATGATAAAAAGAGTCACCGGCAAGCCCCGGGTCCTTTTGGCGGGCGTCTCTTGTTTGAAGGTCATCGGGGCTGCATGTTTTGACCTCCAGATCCTCTCTCAGGCGTTCCATCGAACGACCAGTCGCGTGACCAGTGGACTAAAGTCGAAAAGTCGAAAGTAGCTGCGTGCTTTCGTTTCCTTACCTTTTTGACTTTTGGACTTTTTGACTTTTCTCACTTTTTGACTTTTTGCGTTTTGCTTGGTGTCTTGCAAATAGATCGTCGCTAAAGGACTTAGCGAGCTTCGCTGGCGTTACTCCCTTTACGATCGCTCCAGGTCATCGGTCGGCGGCAGAGGTGGCCGGTCACCGATGGCTCTGGCGGACGACCCGCGGCTACATTCAAGTGCATCTTTGTTACGTGACATATTTTCACAAAACTATCTATCTGTTTCTATCTGTCTTTCTGTCTATAGATGGCCGGTTGCCGGCGTCGGTGGCCGGTTGCTGGCGCCGGGCCGGTGGCCGGTGAACAGTCACCGGAACACAAAAAAAGTATAATGTATTATGAACGGGATAGGGGGTTGTGATCCTGTTTTTCTCAAATCTTCATTTTACAGCAAAACTTCAGACACTTGCGAAACGGTTTCAGCTTCCCCATGTTCCCCTTCACTGCATCACCCCTCGCATCAAACGCTTCACGGTGCAAACGAGCGTCTCCGCACACCACTGCGCCGCTTCGGAGGTCCGCAAGCCCTGGAAAAGCGCCTCGGAAAAAGGAAAAATCCGAGATCCAACGGGAATGCTGGCAACTCTTGAGGAATTTTTCCCGCGACCCGTGGACTTTCTGGAGGGCCATGTCAGAGAGTATCAGAACCCAGCTTTGGTTTCGCAGGTTGGTCGTGATGACCATATATAGTGTACAGTGTATATATATATATATAGCCCTCCTCGATGTCAGCCCACAAGTGGGCGACACTCTCCGCCACCTGCCGAACGTCGCCTGGTATGGACCAACTCTTGTAACGGACCAAAATCCAAGTACAAAAGCTCCAGCTCTACGGATTTCCTCTCCGGCACATCCAAGTGGCAAAGCCAGTTGCGGGTCGATCCACAAAGCTCAAGGCCAGCTTCAAAGAGAGCCGTGCGATTTTTGTGACCTTAACTAGCGCCACAAATCACACGAGACACAGTGTCAAAAGTTTTCTGTTTTAGACCGCTTGAAAAGGAACCACAAAGTGGTCGGGTATGCATGGTATGCACAACCACCAATCAACAAGCGACATGAGTCAAACGCGGAAACAATACCAGCAGTTTGCCCAAGTTCAAGAACAAGAGAGCCACGCACACACGCACGCACACCGACAATGCAATGGTCCCAGGAGCATCGTTGAGGGTCACTGCTCTGTCAAACTTCGTCCCACGGCCTGGGATGTGGACAGCCAAAAAAGCTACTAGCGATGGCCTCCAACCTACTAACGATGGCCTCCAACCTGATATAACGTCTCCACCAACACGCTTTGGAAGACTGAATGGCAAGGCACGCACACAAGATGCACTCGCAGCTCGAACTTTGATGTCGTACTCCTAGGGCGATATAGATCTGTCCAAATCTGAAGCATTGTAGAAGCGTCTGGAAGAGCAATACGAATACAAGCAAAATGCCTTTCAGCCCTTGTATGACATAGACATGAGCAAAGCATGGGTTCACGCAAAAGTATATATATACAGTATATACATATGATTGGGGCTACTGTAGTCAGCTCTGTCTTTCTACTTCGAAGCGTTCCAAAAACGAGAGCCTTCAAACCAAACGATTCACAGATTCCTTCGATTCGCAGTTCCCTCCTCCCGCTCCTGTGGAGCGTGGGGCGGATCAATATCCACCCATTCCCCAGGTCGTGCTCCCTGCCGACAATACTTCCCAGCCTCGTTCGACCAGTCGCTCGTTCGAACACGCGTCGAAACGCGCCCTCCGCACGCGCGCCTTCTCTCCCTTCTGCACAAAGTACACTGGACCTCGCGCACAGGTCCAGCGATCCGCAAATTCAATCGATCTTTGCAGTCGAGCTCGTGAGTATCAAAAAAACTTACACCAGCATAGACCCAGATAGCTAGGCAGCATCCCACGACCTGTTGACATGCGACTGGCTGGAACAAGAATGCGCACAGCCTGCACGCACAGCCAGCTTACGGCGCCTCCAGCGCGCGCAGCCAGCTGACACCAGCACCGGTGCGCTTTGCCAGCTGAGACGGGGTCGGCACCAGCACCCGACCAGCACCGCCGCCACCAGCACCCAGGACCACAACACCAGCACCTGCACTGACACCCCTTCGAAAGCGCGCGCAGCCGGCTCATTCTTATTAAATTTGCAGTAAGACCCCCATAGCTATCCCTAGCGTGCTCTTGCGCGTATAAGTTTATGCGCACAAAAGTATGCGCGCAAACAGCAAAGCCCGTAAGTGTCATTGGCCCAAGGCCAAGCAGTATCCAGCGCCACTATTGTAGCACGCTTGAAGCAACGATCTGTAGAACGATAAGGCAGTATGATCTTGCGCGTATAAGTGTATGCGCGCAAAAGAGTGCGCACAAAGGGCAAAGCCCGTAGGCTTCACTCGCCCAAGGCCAAGCAGTATCCAGCACGACTATTTTGTGTGTAGCAGGCTGAAACATGCTGAAACAATGGTCGGTTGAGAGCCTGACGTTGCGCATAGAACAGTGTACGTACCTAGCCAGCTCACAGCACCAGCACCGGCACCCGGCACCCACCTTCGGCACCGGCACCAGCAACCTGTCTCCACCACGTGCACAGCCAGCTCACAGCACCAGCACCAGCACCGGCACCCAGCACCAGCACCAGCAACCTGTCTCGAAAGCGCGCACGGGCAACTCATTGTTATTTGAAGTAAGAACCCCATAGCTTCGCTATCTGGGGAAATATTGTCGCCTGCTCTGCCAGGAAAAACAGAGATGGACTGGGGTTCATTGGGCGAGGAAGGTGTCTCGCAACGGTTTTTGGCCGTCCATTGGCATTCCTCCTGGAAGCCGAAGCTCAATCAACCACCAGCAGGATTAGAAACGCCGAAGGATGCTTCACTTAAAATACACGGGTGAAGTAGACAAGCCACGAGCGAAATCCACTGAGCTGATCTGCCAGCTACAAATCATCTACATGAAAGAGCATTGCATCCAGGGTGCTGTGAGCGTGAACCAACCTAAGCGAAAATGGGAATATGATTTGCCAGCGTTCCGAAACTTAGCCCATCTGGGTAGTCATGTTCTGCCAAGCTGCATGGTAGGGCTGTGTCTAATCCAACCTTCTCCAGGAGGGACCAGCTCTTCCTGCAGAGAGCAAGATCACAGGATTACGCGACGGAAATTATGTACATATATATATATATGTGTGTGTGTTTGCGCTACATCAGGATTCACCCTCTCCCCTCTTGAGCCCGAGTTGAGAATGGCACTCATAAGTTCAAGCTACTTGGTGGCACAAGCCTCCTTCGCGAAGAGCTCCTGACTATCTCTGAAGCCTCAGGAATTAGCTGTGTTGGCTTGCATAAAAAGCTTCTCATGCTCTCTTCTTCCATACCTTTTCTATTTCTATATTTCTTGCTGGACCTGGCAATGGATGATTCGTGTAGAGGTCCTTCTCATCCACATTGACAAGCCTGGCCAGGTGAGCAAGATTACAATCCCAGGTCCTCTCAATGGTCACTAGACAGAAACAATTGATCCCGCCCTGGTTATCATTCCTTTAAGCTACTTCCAACTCTCTGAAACTTGATGGATCTCACCCGGACTGGGGGCAAAACCAGCACTTTCGAGAGGTTTGAAGCTAAGTTGCTGTTGAGGAAGCCACTTCGTCTTCTTCAACTTCAGGCAAACCTCGGTTTTCCGCAGCTCCATCAGCTGACAACAAAAGAGAGCCGCCGGCCGCGTCGACTCTCACAGTCAACCCCATGGCAAATGCTGCAGAAGCCAAGTAGCAGATCGAGCTCCAGCCTGGGCCAGAAATCTGCAAGCTTTTGCAACCAATGAATTTCACTTGGAAAAAAGCAATGCTTTTGGCCTCTCCCTCTGCCAGGAACTTCCTTCCCAGCTCCATACCATCCTCGCGGCAACAAAAATTGCACACGCTAGATCTGCTGTGTTCCGTGCTGCCATCAAACCCAAGCGGCTAGAGCGGCTCGTGGCCAGTCAGACGATCAATGAAAAACTACACTGAGCTGAGCTGTCCAAAACATTCCAAACCTGTCAGCTTGCACAAAATCCAACCACTGCAAAGGGAATTGACTGAATCCTTGCCCAATGACCTTAAACTTCCTTCCCAAAAAAAAAACAAACGATCATGATCGCTGGGTCGCTCAAGTCCTTGATCGCTTCTCTTCGAGCTGCTCGTGGTGGGCCTTCGAGGTTCACGGCCTTCATGTATGGAACCTGAAGCAGCTTGGAAGAGTCTCCAGGCCCAAGAAAATGAAAACCTCTTTGAACCATGTTCAATGGGAACGTCATAGAATATCATATGAGCTTCTATACCTCTCAAGCTTGGAAGAGTCTGGGGAGTCGAAGAAAGACTCAAGCTTTGGCACCTTGATGTTGCATGTGAGCAGTGCCGTGAAAGACTTGGCAACATGCTCCTGGACAAATCATAAAAAAATGAGTGAGCCAAAAGTCAAAAGCTTGCAGTTAGTCAGTGATGATAAAATATATCACACAGTGTGTCGATCTAAGCTTCAACCAAGGACAAGTGCAAAAATCATAGAACAAATCATCTCAAACTTCTCTAGTCAGCTTTAAGGTGGTGACTTCAAACTAAAGGCGCAAGAACAGTCCCACTCCATTTCAGCTCCTTGATCTGTACGTTCAGGAGATGAAAGTCTCCTGTCGGTCCAGATGGACGATCTCAGACCAACAAAATCGAATGCCAACTGTTTTTGATGAAACTTTGCACCTTTTAATCATTAAATGGCACGAACTTTGTTGAACGTCAAGTGATGGAACTCCTCTCCTGACACGGGCTTGCATGCCGGATGGATGTTCGACATCACAAAGCATCCGGGGCTTCAGGCGCAGCCCTCTGGGGTTTCCCTTGAGATGCGCTTTCTTGTCTTGGTCATTGAGAAAGCGTAGGAAAACTCTTCAAAATTGGAGATTCAGGGGCTCTCATTGGCCGAGCGAATTTAACCTTCACCAAAGACGTCCTGTATGTGCATATGTATACAGTATATATATATATGACATACATGAGGTTTGGCAATACAATGGGCTGAGCGGTCTTGGGATGCAAATGACATCAAATGACAATGTTGAATTTGCTCCCATGCAAGTGTTCTCTCTCTCTCTCTCATTGGAAAGGAGAACTGGGCCTTGATGCTCTTGCCTCCTAAAGCATACTATTATTGACCTTACATTTGTTACCTGTGCTTTGACTTGCAGGCCCATGTGGACAAGCCTTGAAACGCAGCGTGGGCACCAAAGGAAAACTTGCATCGATGGCAAAGGCAAATTGATCTGCATCGTGTCTGGTCGAAGGTGTGACTCTGCAAATATTCCATCCTATGCAACTCTGATTGAAATTGTCAGGAGCGTGCAAATGAACAAGCTTTATCAGTAGGAGTTGGAGTGCGATGTGACTTCTTACCCCAATTCATTCTCCCACCATTCCTCTGCCTTCTTCTTCTCCTTCTTCTCCCTCTCCTTCTCCCTCTCCTCCTCCTCCTCCTCCTCCTCCTCCTCCTTCTTCTTCTTCTTCTCCGATCTCCGAACTTGTGACCCATTGAGCTTGATTCAGTTGTGGATCTCTTCACACCCGGGGCTGGCACAACGAGCAAGGCCAGCAAAAGCAACACGCCTCAGCCGAATGTGGCAGAATCCTGAACTCCAATGCCAAAAAGCAGGTTTCTGGGTAGGGAACGATTTACTCATCAGGGTTGCAATCATCTGAGTCTGATGCTGGCGGCGCGGATCTGACGTCCTGCCAAGCACAAAGGCATAGCTAGGCAGGGATCAAGGCCATGAACCAATCAGGACTCCGTCATGTCAATAAGTCGCCCTAGCATTTGAAGGTGCCAATCATGAGCAAGAGGTGGCTTCAATCTGGCCTCATCTGGCCTGTTTAGTGCAAAACAGGGAAGCTAATCACCAGCGAGATCATCATGGGCTTCTTTGATCCCGCATAAACTTTGGCACTGCGACTCGTGTTCAATTCGGGGTACACGTTGGCTGGACATCTAAAGCGGGTCATATCAACATGACGCTACTCATACGTCATCTTGTGTGTAAATACTCAAAGTGCCCAAATGTGATGCAATTGTTGAAGGAAGTCAGAAGGTAGCAGAGCTACACCATGTAACAGCGCATGTTGCGGTTGGCTCTCCTCGGAAATTGGCCATGGTGGATCTGCCTCAGAGAGCACTGATAGATGGACCCAGTGAGCCAGTCGAGCACTTGATTTTTGCGGAAGACCTCACAGCTGACCTCACAGCTCAAGCAAACAAATGGTTTTTAAAAAGAACTGCTCTTAGGCTAGCTGCGGCTAGCTGCTTAGCCTTTGGCTGAGTCCCTTGCAGTGATTGGTCTTTTCGGCCAAACGTCCCAAAAGCACTTGAGCTTTAATCCAGCTTCGGTTTTCAGACCCTCTACACATCGTCCTCAATGGAATGTCCTGACCAAGACGGACTGGATAGTGATTTCAGGATAGTCTTTCATAGAGGTACATGGACTGCAGCTTCATTGAACCTTCCCTGCCGTCTGATCTAACCTGGCAACAGCATCAATCTGGCATCAAAATACTAAAATGGTAAAAGTGTCTGCAAAAGATGGGTCTTGGCAAACCTTCTGGGATATACAATGAATCGTTCATCTCTCGTTCCCTCTCTCTTCTTGTCGTTAACTTCATGTTTGCCACTGTGGCCTTTTGTTTTCACCCTCATTGTCTGAGAGCTTCGTCCCCAACCCCCCTAGCTTGGTCCACTCTCGCCATTGGCACGAGGAGCGCTGAGCCGCGCGAGCCATTTCTGCCTCTGTCAACGTCAGCCATTTCTGCCTCTGAACTTTGATAAAGAGATACAGCCATTTCGAAGCTGTGCTCGGCCGCGTCTATGCCGTACATCTTGCCGTACTTGATAGCCAGGGTGCTGTGGAGACATTGCACAAGACAAAAGGACCTCGAAAAAGGCTAGTCCGCGTTTCAGTAGAGTTAAAAACTTAAGAACATGGAGGTACAGATACCTTGAGTGTGAACCGCCTTCACTACAGCCCTTGTGCAACCTCCTTCATTCTTCAAACCGCTGCAAATTGCAGAGCAGGGTAGCTCGTGATGGCCAAGTCAATGAAATTCCTATCTGCTTGCAAAAGAACAAAAGAAACTGGCAAATATATCTTTGACTACTCCATGTCTCGATCGGCATCAGATGGGCAGCGATGCAGCCGACGGTGTTCAGCTGGAGCTTCCCTCGAGGATCCAAAAAATCCAGTGCCCTGGAGTCCAGTTACCCTTGAGAGTTTCTCACAAAGCCTGCGAACCGCACAACTTCTCCAAACACAACACCCCCTGCGTACTTCGGAAGAGTCGAACAGTAGGATCACCGCATTTTGAGACCATTGGCAAGAGTGATCGTGACAAGAAACTTCAGATGCTGTACTTTCTTTGATAAATGTGGACAAGGAACTGCTGACAAGTTCAGCCAGTTTGTTACTCCCCTTTCCCTGTGTTCGTTCATGTGGCCAAGCTTCTGTTCGGGGCTTCTTGTATTTTGCTGGGCCCGTAGTGGCCACTATAGGCAAGAACTGTTGGGGTACATCAACAAACAACCGTGTCAACTGTCCGATCCTAAAAGCATCAAACAAGTGCATCGCTACTAGTAACAAGAAGCTACTAGTAGCTATTTACTACTAGTTGTAAAATGTTGTAAACAAATCTATTTCGGATTTGCTCATTAATGCACGTGTGCGTGCGTGTCACTTAGACTCCTCAGGGTGACTGTGGGCCCCAGTTGGAGAACTGAGTGAAACTCAGCGTCAGCACAGATGTGGTGCCCCAGGCTGGTGCCTTTACCGGTCTTCCATGGCCTTCTGCTGCAGGCTTTTTTTGATGAAAAAAGGTGCTTGGAATGCCTAGGGCATCTGCGCATCGATCAAGGGGGGAAGAGACCAAAAAAAGAGGGGAAATGCGAGCTTCCTTGATCTGGCAAACGTTCATGGAAAATGCCAAAAGAAACTAAAAACCATGCAAAATAGTTTTTATCCGCCTCTCCACCACTTCCCCCCTGTGTTCAGGGATTCGAGCAATGACCACGCTACAGGACCTCTACCTGGATGGTCTCCGAAACCGCTGAACCGCTCTCGCACATCAAGCACATGAGTCAAGTGCTAGGGCCTGTGAGTAACTGGCCCTGCCGCGCTCGGAGACCAACCAAGACTGGAGACCAACGCCAAGCCGCGAGGGTTGAGTTCTCAAACCTCGCGCCCTCATTCCTGCCTGACTTTGGCAGGTGTCATAACTCAAGAGCTTTTGGACTGGCGGAAGGTAGAGGCAGAGGCATGCACAAGCATTGGGTCGTTAGATCAGTCTGTTCAGCCATGTTTCACCATCGCGGATCCCAGCGGTGAATACACCAGCGTCCAGCAAGTGTCAAAAGACGATGATTTCACAAAGCAAAAGCATTAGCTAATACTTCAACAGGACCAGAGTGTCGAAACGGTTTCTCCTCGTGGTACAACAGACACAAACAAATCTGACGCAACGACATGTTCTTGTCACAAAGGAGTGTCCACCCCAAAACAAAAGGCAATACCTTTGCTTTACGTGGGAATAGATGGTAGATAATCCACTAAAATCACTGTTTGGATTCTGATAGAAGAAGGGATAGCAGCTCTTGTCTCCACACCTGCATTTACAACTTTTGTGTTGTCCGTTTACGCCCTAACATGCAAGTCAAAACTTGTAGGGACCATACCTTCACTAACAGCAAGCTCTTTCTCACTAGTTACTAGTTAATTGCATTTGGTTGCTGTATACAGTGCCCGCAGCCGCCGCCTTATCAATGGTTTCGTCGATCTTGGCTTTCAGTTGGTCAGTCACCTCTCCAGCGGGCCATGGGCCCCATGGGCTGGGTGCCATGTTCTGCTGGAAAGCCGAAGAGAGATTAGCTTCTTGAGTACATGAATCAATGAATGCCATGATTTTCTCTAACTTGTCACGCATGTAGAGCATGAGCCCCATTAGCCCAGAAAGCCAGTCAGCCTTGTACTCCTCATTGAGTTCAATGACCTTTTCAGGTGGCTGAACTCCACGATGATGTGTGAAAGCACAACATTCAACGCACAAAACCATTGAACGCACGGTCCTCAATGCCATGATACTTGCTTGGTGGACCCAGCCTTGGTGGCCAACTGACTGGCAAGGTCGGATCCAGCCAGGACCAGGCTGCCCAAGGTGTCCTTGATGCCCACGTCCTGCCAGCTGTTTAGGGTTCTTGTGAGACTTAATTCAGAACCCCGTCAGCATCAATCAGATCAGTCAAGTCAAAATCTCAAAACACCACAAACGAACACGCAGCCTACTTCAGCCTGACTGCCATGAAAAACCCTAAGACAATCCTTGTCGAAGCCCTCGATGGCATCGCCCACGCTGCTCAGGGTCGACTTCACAGTCGATCCGGTCTCCTGGTGGACAGTCCGAGTTCCAAGCCACGTCTTGACAGCACGGGGATACGAAGAACATCTGTCTTCTGCAGCAAACCCCCCCGCTTCTAACATTTTATAGCTGGAATTCTGAAACCATTTGAAGTGTCAAGACTTGTAATGAGACTTGTACCTTTGCGGTCCAACAGGACCTGTTGAGACTACCAAGGTCATAAGCCGTGGACCGATCAAAGGCTACGCACCTAGTGCTTGAGGAACACAAGGAACTACTGTATAATCGCCAACAATGGCCTACCTGACAGGGCAGTCTGCAAATGAAAAGCCTTGCTGTCACTCTTCTCGAGAGCGTCATTCACTGCGGAGCCCACCTGGCCGCTCAAACTGCCAGTCTATGATTCGCAACATGCTCATCCCAAACAAGGGTCTAGGCACCTTGTTGGTCACTTCATACTTCTTGTTCAGGTAATCCACATAGTTGAGGGCCTGAAGTGCACACATTGACCAACATTCCAAAGTGCTGCAAGTCAGAAGCTTGGACAGCAGAGTCCCGAAAATGATACAACAATGCACCATCAAATCACCAGTAAAAGCTATATATATGTATGTATATACAATATCTACACATATCCGCCGACCCCTGCCTAGCTGACGCCGGGGGCACCGCAGGGTGAAACAGTTGCCCAGGCCAAGCAGATCCAGAGCGCTTCGCCGTGGCGCCGCTGCCTTTCTCCGCCCAAGCAGATCCAGAGTGTGTCGACGGTTGCTCAGCAAGACCTGCCTGTGGCCACCATTTTGGCTGACGTTAGGCACTGGCTACACCAGCCTAGAAGGCCTTGGCCTGCACCTCTTTTCTTTACGGTCCCGAAGGCGACGTGCCAGGCGACGTGCCAGGCGACGTTAGGCATTTTGGTTGGCCGCGGCTTGCCTCTATTTGGTGTGGAAATAGATGGTGTCGTTGGCTAGGCTTGGAACCCCCCCGCAGGGTGAAACGGTGGCTCACCTTGCTTTCGGCCAGTTGCTCAGCAAGACCTGCCTGTGGCCACCATTTTGGCTGGCTGCGGCTCGCCTCTATTTTTGGTGTGGAAATAGATGGTGTCGTTTGCTAGGCTTGAAGCCCCTGCGCAGACGTTAGCCAGCCTAGAAGGCCTTGGCCTGCGCCTCTTTTCTAGGCGACGTGCCAGGCGACGTGCCAGGCGACGTTAAGCATTTTTGGCTGGTTGCGGCTCGCCTCTTTTTGGTGTGAAATAGATGGCGTCGTTGGCTAGGCTTGAAACCCCCCTGCAGGGTGAAAAGGTGGCTCACCTTGCTTTCGGCCAGTTGCTCAGCAAGACCTGCCTGTGGCCACCATTTTGGCTGGCTGCGGCTCGCCTTTTTTTGGTGTGGAAATAGATGGTGTCTTCTTGCTCCTCGTTTCTACATTAAGCTTTCACTGCAGGTCCTTCCTAAAAAAGGCGGTCGGCGGCACCAGTGCGAAGCCCTTACAATCCGGGCGCCGGCCAGGAAGCCCATGGCATGCCCGGAGGGCCTTCGGTGGTAACCGAAGGTTATAGACGGGCGCGCCGGCTGCCGCCGACCCTCGTCACCAAAACGGGGGGACCACCGGTTCACGGAAGCCCCTGTAATTTACAGTGTATCGTGTGTGTGTGTGAGGTATAAAAAACACTGTGTTTTACAGGGTTTTGGGCCCCTCGGCAGCCGAGAATTTTCTGTTGGCGATGTCAAAAAACGTGAGTTTTTCCAGTGTTTTTGCTTTGCGGGAAGGAAAAATCGGAAAAAGTTGTCTCGGAAGATTTTTTCAACATAAATTGCCTAACATCTCCCCAACATAAGCCCAAGATAGCCAACATATCCCCAACATATGCCCAACATAGCCTCCAAGATGGCTCAACATAGAGCCAACATAGGCCAACATGGGGCCAACATAGGCCCAACATAGGCCCAACATAGGCCAACATAGGCCAACATAGGCCTAACATAGGCCAATATAGGCCCAACATAGGCTCAACATGGGCCCAAGATGTGCCCAACATACACCACATGGGCCCCACTTGGCCCAACCTAGGGCCAAGATGTGCGCCAGATAGCTTAACTTTTCTGAGAGAGAGAAAGAGAGAGAGAGAGAGAGAGAAAGACACCCAGCCCTACACAGACCCAAGTGGGCGCCCTGCTGTCAGGCGTAAGCCTCATAAATCCGGCCAGGGGCCCAAGGGGCCCGAAGGCCGTGTCCTTGCCGTAGGCCATCTCTCTCCTCTCCGAAGGAGAGAGGGGAGTCCCCCGCCGCCGCCGACCCCGGCGCTATACTGTGTTTTACAGTGTTTTCTGCTTCTTCCATTCTTCCGGGTTTGTGCCTCCAGATGGGTCAACATGGCCCAACATATCCTCAAATAATGCTGGAAATGCCTGCCGCACCGGGGTGCTTCGTCTGCATCGTGGGTGGCTGCTGGGCTAACAACAACAACAACAACAACAACAACAACAACAACAACAACAACAACAACCACAACAACAACAACAACAACAACAACAACAACAACCACAACAACAACAACAACAACAACCACAACAACCACAACAACAACAACAACAACAACAACAACAACCACCACAACAACAACCACAACAACAACCACAACAACAACAACAACAACAACAACAACAACAACAAGCACAAGCACAAGCACAAGCACAACCACAAGCACAACCACAACCACAACCACAACCACACCACCAACAACAACAACAACAACAACACCAACGACGACGACGACGACGACAACAACAACAACAACGCCCCCGTGCCCTTTTTCCCTGCCCCCTCCCCTTTGCTTGGGCCCCTGGCCGGCTGTCGGGCGTAAGCCCTTAAATCCGGGTCCGGGCGCCGGCCACGCGCACGTGTCCTCGCCGGAGGCCTTCAGTGGTAACCGAAGGTTATATACGGGCGCGCCCCCTGCCGCCGACCCTCGTCACCAAAACGGGGGGACCCCCTGGTCACTTCCGGTTCACTGACGCCTCTGTAATTTACAGTGTATCGTGTGTGTGTGTGAGGTATAAAAAACACTGTGTTTTACAGGGTTTTGGGCCCCTCGGCGGCCGAGAATTTCATCTTGGCGATGTCAAAAAAAGTCGGTTTTTCCATGGTTTTTGCTTTGCGGGAAGGAAAAATCGTAAAAAGTTGTCTCGGAAGATTTTTTCAACATAAATTGCCTAACATATCCCCAACATAGGCCGAAGATAGCCAACATATCCCAACATATACCCAACATAGCCTCCAAGATGGTTCAACATAGGGCCAACATAAGCCAACACGGGGCCAACATGGGGCCAACATACGCCAACATAGGCCCAACGTAGGCCCAACCTAGGCCAACATAGGCCTAACATAGGCGAACATAGGCCCAACATAGGCTCAACATGGGCCCAAGATGTGCCCAACATAGACCACATGGGCCCAACTTGGCCCAACCTAGGGCTAAGATGCGCACCAGATAGCTTCACTTTGCTCAATCTAAGCCCCACCAAGGCCAACATAGGCGTGACAGACGCCCCACAGACCCAAGTGGGGCGGCGCCCGGCTGTTAGGCGTAAGCCTTTAAATTTAGTCTGATTAATGCTATAAATTTGATGGTTCTTACTTCTGATAGTGTTAAAACAAACTTCTTCTTTACAGTTTCTATTCAATGTCTCTTCGTTAGTTTTGTAACTTAACTGATTGCTCACTTTATGTTTGACTACTCCTTTACTTTTCTTGTGTTCTTTCTCATCACCATACACTTTATAACAATATGCCCTTGGTTCAATCCTATAAATAAAGTGAGTAATTATTTTACCGTTCATTTCATCCTTAAATGTTCCTATAGTTCCGGACTGAAAGATAGAACCCCTACGTGTGGACGGTCCGTCCGTAGAAGGTGTACACTTAGAACCCCGTCTAGGTCACACGAGTTAGAACCACGTCAAATTCTATCTTTCAGTCCGCTATAAAGCCTGCAAATTTCCCAGCAAGTATTGTTCCCGAATGCGTAGCGAAGGGTTCTCGTTTAACTCTTGGGGGTCTGGGGGTAGAGCCTTGTTCGCGATCCGTTGTTTCTACGTCCGCAACCGTCCGCAGGTGTCCGCAGTAGAGCGCTAAGGCGCTGCCATTGGGGGAAGCTTTTGCAAGTGACTTTTCATGGATGTGTCACGTGTCAGTTTGCGACGCTATTCCATTGTGATTTGCATGAAAATGACATGTCGCGCAAGAAGCGTGATGCATGTCGCTGCACAGGCGCAGCGTTTTGTGAGATCCTCAGTTTGCTACGCAGTTCCATTGGGATTAGCGTTTGGAGAGTCGTGTTTTTGGGGCGTTGGATGTGGCCGTGCCATTGGGATTTGCCTTTCAGGGTTTGGCATCGAAGCTCTGTTTTCGTGACCAGTCTCAGCTGAAATGGCGATTTTGGTGGATGGGAGTGTGTTCAGAACGGGTCGAAATCATTCCAAACGTGTGGTGTGGTGCAAATTTTGAAGCTGACATGAGATGATATTGCCACTTTTCGTGGCAGGCGCAGTACTTTGTGTGGGCTTTGTTGTGCGATTCTCATGGCAGGCGCAGGGAATGGTGAGGTTGCGAGGTGTGACGGAGGTGACATTTCGTGGCAGGCGCAGTACTTTGTGCGCGTTAGACGTGTGGATGCGGAAAGATTCGTGGCAGGCGCGGGGAGTTGTGAGGGTGTGAGTTGTGGTAGAGGTGAATGTCGCTGTCACAGTGGGATTGGCGTGTGAACGGGTGTTGTTTGGAGGGGCTGGACTCGCGAAACTGCTTAGCAGGGCTGCGTGATGTGTGTGCTCCGATGGGTGTTTCCGCTTGACTTTTGGAGGAAGTCTCGCACGACATGCTCGTTTTGGAGACTTGACACGTGACTTTTGGAGGAAGTCTCGTGCGAAACGCTCGTTTTGGAGACTTGACATGTGACTTTTGGAGGAAGTCTCGTACGAAACGCTCGTTTTGGAGAATTGACGTGTGACTTTTGGAGGAAGTCTCGTACGAAGAGCGCCCTACAAGAGTGTCCCACAAGAGTGTCCTACAAGAGTGTCCCACAAGAGTGTCTCACAAGAGTGTCCCTTAAGAGTGTCCCACAAGAGTGTCCCACGAGAGTGTCCTATAAGAGTGTCCCACAAGAGTGTCCTACAAGAGAGTCCCACAAGAGTTTCCTACAAGAGTGTCCCACAAGAGTGTCCCACAAGAGTGCCCTACAAGAGTGTCCCACAAGAGTGTCCTACAGGAGTTTCCCACAAGAGTGTCCTACAAGAGTGTCCCACAAGTGCGTCTCACAAGAGTGTCCCGTATGAGCCCCCCACAACATGCGTCCCGCAACAGTGTCCCACAAGAGTGTCTGACAAGAGTGTCCCTTAAGAGTGTCCCACAAGAGTGTCCCACAACAGTGTCCCACGAGAGTGTCCCACAAGAGTGTCCTACAAGAGTGTCCCCTAAGAGTGTCCCACAAGAG